CATCAGGTAGTTCAGACATATATTGATTACCACATCACCATCAGGTTGTTCAGACAGATATTGATTACCATATCACCATCAGGTAGTTCAGACAGATATTGATTCCCACATCACCATCAGGTAGTTCAGACATATATTGATTACCACATCACAATCAGGTAGTTCAGACAGATATTGATTCCCACATCACCATCAGGTAGTTCAGACATATATTGATTACCACATCACAATCAGGTAGTTCAGACAGATATTGATTACCGCATCACCATCAGGTAGTTCAGGCAGATATTGATTACCACATCACCATCAAGTAGTTCAGCCAGATATTGATTACCACATCACCATCAGGAAGTTCAGACAGATATTTATTACCACATCACCATCAGGTTGTTCAGACAGATATTGCTTACCACATCACCATCATGTAGTTCAGACAGATATTGCTTACCACATCACCATCAGGTAGTCCAGACAGATATTGCTTACCACATCCCCATCAGGTAGTTCAGACAGATATTGATTCCCACATCACCATCAGGTAGTCCAGACAGATATTGATTACCACATCACCAGCAGGTAGTCCAGACAGATATTTATTACCACATCACCATCAGGTAGTGCAGACAGATATTGCTTACCACATCACCATCAGGTAGTCCAGCCAGATATTGATTACCACATCACCATCAAGTAGTTCAGCCAGATATTGATTACCACATCACCATCAAGTAGTTCAGACAGATATTGCTTACCACATCACCATCATGTAGTTCAGACAGATATTGATAACATCATTTGATGTTTATCATGTGCATTATACTCTTTTGATCTATACAAAATTCCAATTTTGTTTTTATTTTAAATTAAACAAATGTGTTTCTCACTTCCAAACCGCATCATTGAACTAACAAAGTGATTTTCTCTCCAGAATTTGAAGAATTCTGACAGAGAATGTCTCAAAATGAGAATAATTTAGCATGGTATTTGGTATGATACGGGTATTTTCCAAATGAAAAAGTGTGATGGAATTATAGCTCCAAAACAGATAAAGGATTCCAGTGTCCCCTACACTGTGTCTTTTCGTGTATACAGTAACCTCCCTTTAACTTTTAGTTAATTTCCGATATAACTGTAACACAGTCAGGCCGAGACACTGCCATTGACCAGGTAGCTATATATTGGTTAGAGCGATAGTATAACAACGCAGTAAATAAGTCAATTCTGCATTTTATAAATTATTTCACCTGGAATAGAGGGATATCATATTACATTTTTTAATTAACTGAAACTTACTAATTATGGCCATAAATTAACACCTACTACAGTATCTCAGGAGACCTTACACTGTTATAAATTCCTAAATATCTTTGATTGATTGTTCTCATCTTGTCTGCTTTGATTTGCTTTGAAACATATTAAACTAGGTTTGACCTTTGATCTCATTTGACCCCCTGATGACCATGGCTGGTCAATTGATTAAGGTTGTCTTCAAGTCAATAATGCTTTACTGGGATACCAGGTAGTTTTTACAGACAGGCCTACATGGGTGGTGAGACGGGCCAGCCTAATAAATTACACAGCCCTAATGGCAAGAAAGATATGGTTAGCTTTCCATCATCTTCACTCGGTCAATGCATTAACAACCCCCATATTAATTTGATGGAAGCAACAGTTTGCTTAAATGAGCTTAAACAGAGGTGACTACAGCAGTGTTTGTTTGATCTGATTATGACATCGTATCTATCAGAAATATTTATTACAGTTTTGAGGAGCTTACATTCTTTTCCACATTGTGAAGGTGACATGGACTTTTCAGTCAACAGAGGCTGTATATGACTCCGGCATTGATCTGTATTGGCGCTAAAAATATGGCAAGATAGAGGCCAGTTATTGTGTTTTATCTGCAGGGCACTAATCACACTGAAATTCACCTGTGTAATTTCCAGCAGAGATACCATCCTGTGGAACCTGTATATGACAGGTGTGCTATACTAAATATAACTCTGTCAATCCCTACAGTCATGTAATCTTATTAAAATAATGTTTTGATAAAGAAACAAGAGGCCCAGAGGGCCAGTATTGCTCACCTGGATATAAAAGCAATTTCTTCAAAATATTCTCATTAAAAGGAATATTGCAAGCAAAACCCAAAGGACACGTATGTACAGCCAGTTCCTGAGGCCAATCATTGTAGTGGATGTGTATCCAAATCTTGTATTTTTATAGGGTGGGGAACTCAAATGTTTCTATGTTATGACTCAGGGACCGAGTCCCTAAGGGTGGGGGCAAACTCAAAAAGGCCATTTCTGGTAGCATGACTGTATTCATCTCTTCATGCCCAGCAGTTTTATATCTGTCATGACCAAGACAAGTTTCCAGGGGTGGGGCAGACCCAGAGGCCAGTCTTTGTATCATATCTGTGTTAGATTGTTCTTGCCCAGCAGTTTTATGTATGGTAATCGGGTGGGTATTTTAACCATTTTAAAGTTATGACCCCGGGACCAAGCCAACAAGTATGGAACCAGACCATTGGGGGACAACCCTGGAAGCTATATGTGTATTCTTCTCTTCATCCTCAACAGTTGTATGTATGGTCATGGGGTGGGGATCTGAACCTTTCGATAGTACGACCAGGGACTAAGTCCCTATGGGATGGAGCAGACCCGGATACCAATCCTGGTAGCATATCTGTATTTGAACTTTGATACATAACAGTTGTATAAATTGTAATAGGGTGGGGATGTGAACTGTTTCCAACTGTGACCAAGTCCCTATGGGTGTGGCCAGACACCAGGTTCAAATCTAATACAGTAACTGTGATTGACTTTGTCTTTTTATGCCCAGCAATTGTATGGTTATGGGGTGGGGATCTCAACTGTTTTAAAGCTATGACCCAGTGACTTAGTCTTCAAAGGTGGGGCCAGACACCTGGGCCATTCTTGTTTAATAGGTAGCACATATCATGCATTTTATCCTTAAACTCAGCAATTGTGTCCATGGTCACAGGGTGGTGATCTCAACTGTTTCCAAGTTGTAACTCAGAAACTTAGTCCCTTGGGGTCCAGCAACACCCCAGAGTCAATTCTAAAATATGATTGTGTACGTCTCTTCATGCCATGCAACTGCACATATAGTTTTGGGAAGGGATCTCAACTATTTCAAAGCTATGACCCAGAAACTAAGTCTTCAAGGGTGGAGCAACACCCCATCCTGATGTCAGCCCTCCTGATAGCATATGTGCATTTATATTTGTATATACAGTTATTTATAGGGAGGGGATCTCAACTATTTCTAAGTCGTGACCTAGACATTAAGTCCTTAGGGAGGTGGCCAGACCCCAAGATCAATTCCAATATCATGATTGTTTTCGTCTGTTTATACTCAGTAACTGTATATAAGATTATAGGGTTGAAAAATAACAAATACCACTAACTATCCTAACACTGCAGTAATACACTCTAAACACATATACCACCAAGGATACTTACAAGATATTATATGTTCACCAGATATTCAATAAAATGTTCAAGTAGTAAAGAGTGCAAAAGAGGCAGACGTTTAAGAATCTGTGAAATTGAAGAAAATGCACAGGGGCAATGAGAGATAAAACTCGGCATGCAATCGATGATTAGCCGTCGGTGCCATGACAAATGTCAACACAGTAATTGCCTCACAAGAAAATCAATGGTGGGATAGACAGAACCATTAATTAACGAGAACAAACAACAGGCGAACGCCCTAAGCTAAATAGATCAACAGGTTCACAGACAAATTTAGCTGCCCTCAGAATCTGACAGCAGCTTCTGTGCCATTAGCAGTGTTTTTATTTCATCAATTTTTATCAGACTCTCAGTCTGCCGAGTCAAATATGAATGTTATTAATTCTCAGATCAATATAAATATCATATTCCTATAAACAAACTGAAAATCAAATCTTCCACTTCCAGTTCTATGTAAATGTAAAAGTACTGTTATCCCCATTTGCTTATTTCACACACGTTCCCAGGTTTTTCTCGTTATTTTGTTATTGTACAGTTTTTAGCTTTCTTATTAGTATTTAGGTGAAAGGTTTCAATGGATGTAAAGAGAGACATCAGGAAAACAGAAAGTGAACTTTGAGCACACACAGGAGGCGGGGTGAACTATTACAGTGACACAGGAGGCGGGGTGAACTATTACAGTGAAACAGTTGGTCTCTTCAATGCTCTACCAGCAGAAAATACGGAGAAAGAAAATAAATCGGAAGCTGTCAGACGTTATTATATGTCCTTTTAACAGTAGATTATAATAAACTAATTCTTTCCCCAAAACCTTTTGGGTGTGAAAAGGTAAAGTATATATCTCAACCCCCAAAAAAGTTTTTTTTTCATTTTTTTGTGCAAGTCCTGCAATGAAATTGTTAATGTATATCTGTAAACCAGCATAAATCATCCCTGGTTTATCCACAGTAAAACGTCCATATCGTTGAACCTTGATAATGTTCCTGGTTTATTACGGACATCATTCTATTTATCTGTCACCCAGATTGCAGTCATATTGGCTGTAACTGCAATCTGACCGACGTTCAATCCTTAATTATTTTTCACTTTCATGTAAAAGATCCGTTTTCTGTCGCAATGCCATTCAATACCCTATATAAAGGAATACAATGCTTGCACCAGCTTCCTGTGATATAATGGTTTATCCAATGATAGTTTCACCTTCTGCCTCCTGAGATAAGACACACCACATCGTTCTCCTAGTAATTCACCTGTCTGTGATCATTTCTAAGAATCAATCGTTTTTCCTAGGTCAGTGATGGTATCACTTGACATTAGGTTCCAATGTCAGATGACCAGATGTTAAGAGCAGGAGTACAGTTTTCACAGGACTATACATTATTCTTTTATATTTCATAAGAAAACAATATTATATCAAATATTGCTTCTGATATACAGCAATGCTTAAGTTGTCAACAGAACGCTCAATGGTAAGTGAATAAAGCTCCAATATCAACTTACCGATCATATGACCAGATACTTGCTGACCAGGAGGGCGGCCAGGTCGTGGGAATTACTGGTCTGGTAGATCAGTGATAGGTTGTAGGCAGCCTCACAGGTCAGGTCGAGGATACCCTGTAACACAAAGTTTATATTACATCAGGGGTGCAAGCAAGGGTCACACTTAGGGGCCTGCATACACATACCTTTCTTATAACGAGTGTCACAAAGGACCAGTATATCTTACAATAGAAAGAGTCACAATGGGCCTGTATATCTTACAAAAGCAAGTGTCACGAAGGACCTGTATATCTTACTATAGCAAGAGTCAAAAAGGACCTGTATATCTTATTATAGCAAGAGTCACAAAGGACCTGTATATCTTACAATATAGCAAGAGTCACAATGGGCCTGTATATCTTACACTCGCAGAGTCTAGTAGCTTCTCTGGAATCGTCCAGGGTCTAGTTGCTTCTCTGTATCTTTGGAGTCTTGCTCGATCAAGTAGCTAGCTACTCTGGGACACCTCAGAGTCCAGCTTCTTAAAAATTTTAAATATCCTATTAGTAAGTTTAATCGTTTTGGTATAGAGTGAGTAGCCCCTGATACGCCAAACTTGTAGCTTGTATGTATTATAACTGTAGTAATAAACAGGTTAAACTGTTCTTGCGTGTTTAGTTGTATATAAAATGATAGTTTGATATTTTAATATTAAACTATAGTTTATATACAATGAGTTTGCCTTGCTGCCTATGTTTTCTGTTTTCTGTAATGTAGGTCGTATGTATTTATGTAGTTGCCAATTAGCATGTATGTTAATGAGAGTAGAGGGATGCTGCTGATTGACCAATCAGCGTCTGCCTGAGGGAATGCCCTGTTAGGGATTTGGAGCCCCCACAGCATAGTTTTCTGAATCATTGAAGGAGATTGTTGTGCATTCCCACCCGCCATCCCCTTCAGCACCTGTAATTGTACTGTTTATTCATGTAATATATATATATAATCTGTACTTTATATATGATTGTAATACCATATACGTATGCTATAACATTACTTTGGTGCTTTGGTTTTGCTATACCCTTAAACTGTCATATGAATGTCATCTCAGTTGGTCTCCTGATTTTGTTTTAATTGTTTGGGCTACTCACTCTTAATTTTAAAACATATAGTTTAATTTTGGCATTTAATTCTTGGGGAATTCTACCCCCAATCTTATAATAATATTATACATGTAGTATTTTACGACAGTATGTTTCAGCTTCTCTCATATCGTTGAGGGTCTAGCTAACATATTCAGCTTCTCTCATATCGTTGAGGGTCTAGCCGTAGTCGTTGAATATTCCATTTCTCATGCAGCTTCTCCAGGGTCGCTCGCAGAGTCTAGTAGCTTCTCTGGAATCGTCCAGGGTCTAGTTGCTTCTCTGTATCTTTGGAGTCTTGCTCGATCATGTAGCTAGCTACTCTGGGACACCTCAGAGTCCAGATTCTTTAAATTTTAAATATCCTATTAGTAAGTTTAATCGTTTTGGTATAGAGTGAGTAGCCCCTGATACGCCAAACTTGTAGCTTGTATGTATTATAACTGTAGTAATAAACAGGTTAAACTGTTCTTGCGTGTTTAGTTGTATATAAATTACAAAAGCAAGTGTCACGAAGGACCTTTATATCTTACTAAAGCAAGAGTCACAAAGGACCTGTATATCTTACTATAGCAAGAGTCACAAGGAACCTGTATATCTTACTATAGCAAGAGTCACAAGGGACCTGTATATAATAGTTACTATAGCAAGAGTCACAATGGGCCTGTATATCTTACTATATTAAGAGTCACAATGGGCCTGTATATCTTATTATATTAAGAGTCAAAAAGGACTTGTATATCTTACTATAGCAAGAGTCACAAAGGACCTGTATATCTTACTATAGCAAGGGTATCAAGGGGCCTGTATATCTTTCTTCAGCAAGCATCGCAAAACATTATATTTCTATTATAACATGGGTCATAAAGGGTCTATATATCTTACTATAACAAGGGTTACAAAGGACCTGTAGAGCCTATCATAACAAGTGTTCTGTAAGACCTGCATTTCTATCTATGACAAGGACCACAACAGATCTATATATCCTTCTATAGGGGTCACAACGGGCCAGTGTATCTTACTATAGCTTGGGGTCACAATGGGCCAGTATATCTTACTATAGCTTGGGGTCACAACGGGCCAGTGTATCTTACTATACCTTGGGGTCACAACGGGCCAGTATATATTACTATAGCTTGGGGTCACAACGGCGGGCCAGTGTATCCTTCTACAGCTTGGGGTCACAGCGGGCCAGTGTATCTTACTATAGCTTGGTGTCACAACGGGCCAGTGTATCTTACTATAGCTTGGGGTCACAACGGGCCAGTGTATCTTCTTATAGAAAGCATTCCAAAGTGCAAACTGCAGCATGGGTCACAATGGGCTTGTATATCCTCTTTTGAATACTTCTGAAGAAAATCTAACTGATTTGATTGGTCAACCGCACTGTTTAGTGTAATAGGTGATTGTTTAGGTACACGATTGCCATATACATGATGTTATAATTACTACAACACACAATTGATATCATCCATTGAAGCAAATCTTACCAGATAAATAGAAAGGACTTTGCATACTAAATATTGCAAATGGTCTATATCAATTTCATTTCAAGAAGATATAAGTTTCTAAATGTTCCAGTAAAAAAAACGGG